TGTACAATTTTACATTAATGCCCAGATCAAACACTTCCTGGACATAAAACAAATTCCATTTGACATTATATATTTTTTATATTCCATACACACTTACTTATAATGACTGCTTAGACTGAGAGCTAATAGGAAACAGAAAATGCTCAGTTTATACAGTCATATTGTAGCAATTTTCTCGTTCTTTTTCATCTATTTATCTACTGTAAACAAAAAGTTGATTACTCCCTCTCACAGATAAGTAATGCATTCCATGCAACAGAATCATATTTATGAGAATTACACATTTTTACTATTTCCAGTACCAGTTTATCAGCACTTTAATTGAACACTTTCAGCAGTTCTTACAAAGCTTAATTCATTTTTATTATTATTATTTTTATTAAAAACAGTATATTTCAGTGCTGTCAGCCTTTTGGAAACAGACTTTTGGTTCTTGTTTTTCGTAACTGAACCAACTTGATGAATGAAAACTTTCTATTGATGTAGATCTGTGTTGCACTTTACAAATTCATTTTCACCTGTTTCATTCTTATTTATGTTAACAAACATTTATCCAGCTATTTACCTCAAAGTACTAGTCCTTGCAGCATTATTACATTACTCACTACATTAATTACAAAGAAAGCTAAGCTAATGAAAATGCTTTGAAAAACATAGCCTAGTGCAAAATAAATAAAAAAAACCACCACACAAAATACGTTAGTAAATGCTATCTCTTTTAAAGATGTCTACCTTGAAGTCTGCAAGAAAGGTTCCTCATCCATCTTCTATCAGGGCTCCTCAAACCCAAAATGAAATATTCTTATCAATTTTGTTGATACTATAAATATGCATTTCTGTGCAACAGAAACTCAGCTAAGGCATATTTTAACTTCTAGATCAGTCCTAGTCCATCAGTTATCACTTAGGCTTTCAAAATATGATGTAGAACATGTTTATACACCTGAAACTACTTCAGGGCTCAGTTTCTCTGTTCCTGACATATTCCTTGTCTTCCTGATCCCAGGATTTGCACCAATAGAGAGCATGAAGCTTCCCAATATTACCCTGCATGTATTCTAGCTCTTCAGACATTAAATCCCACTACGTGGATAAAATATTTTAGAACATCTAAGTAAAAGTTAATGATTATAAACTAAGCACAGAAAATAAAGTTCATGTATTTTAGATATTGTTAGTATGGCTCTAAAACACAGCAAACCCACAACTGGATTTCATATAATATTGATTTAGGAACCTCAATGCTGCCATTTGCCCTTTTCTAGTATTAATTTTGAGCCTAACAATTTTCCCTTATGCATGAACTTATTATACAGACCTCAAACATTTCTCCCTGGAAGGTCTGTAAAGGTCTACAAAGTTCTTCCACTCAATCTTTCTTTTTCTGCAGAGTTACACAATCATTGAATTCCAATAGAACTCTTAGACTTAATTCCTACTAGCTTTAATAGACATCCACATTTTAGAATAAAGTCTCAAGCTGAATGACCTTCAGTCTCTAAAGGCTATGGGAGCTATAACTAAAAGCAATAGTAGCAGCTGAATTTCCTTCATGGTATTCTTACAAGAGAAGCAGAGATACACAAACACAATAGGAGTTTTCTACAGTAAATGAATGAGCTGCTCCTAAATAAAGCTCTCAAAAGCAAAAATGAAGGGCCCTACTTGACTTGGCCCTGAATACACTGAATACAAACAGCATAAAATATTTTTTAGAACTGTGATTAAAGATATACATATTTTAGGCATTTCATACAGCAATCTTACCCTCTCGTCTGTTGAGCTTTGCAAAGCTGGGACTATGTATACTGGACAGCTCAGAGGAACTGGTAAACGCTGATGAAGGTAAGGGAGATACCAGCGCAGCATCACAGTTATCTAAAAACAAAAACAGGAGAAAAAAAAAAGAGAGATCATCTGTCAAGTAACAAATAGGTCAACGTCATCTGCCTTGCAGTGCTGTGCATTGCTGTGTAGGGGACTGAGACTGGAAAAGGAAGAAACTTGTGCTTGACATCCCTCTGACCAAACTGCACCACTGCTGGGTGTAACACCAAAATTAACCCTCCGGAACAATAGCCTGGTGAGGAAGCAATTGAACAGGAACTGCTTTTAGGATGCCAAACACTTAAAATGCTTGAAAACTCAGTTTTCTGAGTCTAGAATTGTTGAGTGTGCACAATTTCATGTCATACGCTCTCATTAAATGACTCTTGCTGCACAAGCGGCTGGAAGAACACGGCAGGTTTTAGGTACCACTTCAGAGATGTCTTTGGAAAGCCTTCTCTAAAGGAGATACCTAACTGAGGAGCTGAAGTGACAAATTCTATAGAAGTGAGCTATAGGGACATGATACCCAGCTTTGCGCAGCAACATTTGAAAGCATGACCCATAATTCACAAGACTCCTATGCCGTACAAATCATTAACTCATCTTTTTTTGCTCAAACTCATGCACACATGTAATGACAAATAAGTTTCATAAGCTCAAATAAGCTGTCTGCTACATTTTTCCCCCTCTTAGCCACATCTTCATCCGAGGATAGTTTCAATTGGATTAGGCTAACTCTGAAGTTGAATTTTTGAGCACATAATGCTTGCATGAGAACGAAGTTAGGCAAAGTAAGTTTGCTTATTACAATGCTGTCACATACACATCCAAAAATAGCCTTTCAGTAGGGAATAAAAAACCCACACACTTATTTTTAATTGAATCTCCCAAGGAGGAAACATGCATCTAATTACTGGAAAAGTCCTGCACATTAGCAAGATCTCAGATACCACAGCATTCTCACGTTCTCAGAGTAAATATACAATTTGCAGGGGGAAAAGGAAATCCACTAATGATACTTCAGGGTTACAAAAGTCAAAGAATAAAAGCTAAATGATTTCACAGCTACGGTGGTAAATTTAGTGATCCAAAAAGTGGAAGGTGCCTTTTGCATAAAGAGCTGAACTGCAGTAAAACACTACTCATCTGTTTTGTGCAGTGACTGTGTAGAATATTCGAGAGACTTTTGCCAATTAAAACTTCCTTTTCCTTAAAAAAAGGACGAGTTTATTCATCATCTGATCAACAGGGCAGCAACATTACTTAATATCTGTGGCACCAGAACACACACTGGACAGGGGGACAAATGTTTATGCAAGCCATAGTTAGAACTTGCTTAGGTACTTGACTGAGTTCTGGAGCTACATATGGGGGTTTTTGTTTGTTTGCTTTTTGCTTTTTTGGGGGGAGGGGAAGGAGGGGTGTTGAGGGGGGAGGTGTTAAAGAATATTCTCTTCCAATAAACATATTAATAAAGCCAGTATTACACCGCTAGTGAATAAGCTGATGTCTGCAACTCCAAATTAAGTTGTTGGGAAATACAGACTCTTGAGGAAGGATGCTAAAAGCACACAAATATGGCACAAAGGGAGAAAGACAGCCAGAAAGAACACTTTAAATAGGCAGATTTCTCAATATGGATTTTTATATTGATAAGAGGATGGGAAAACTGACTGTCATGATGAATTATATTAAATATTGGAGTCCATTGTATTCTGAAAGAGGATGATATATTAGCTTCCAGAAAGAACACAAAAGTAATATCCCAATTAATTAGCAAATAAGATGGGATGGCACAAGTGGGACAGACATTACAAATACAGACTGAGTAGCTGACACCAGAATAAAGACAACTGAATCACCAGTTTAGAGCTTAAACCCCATAGCACTGGAAAGTTCCCAATAGTGAAGCACAGGGACAATATTTAAACTGGAACACAAAAAGGTTTAAGGTTAAAGAAGAGTTAAAGAATGGCAGAATAAGAGATTCCATTTAGCTCATTGCTCTGAGAAATAGCTAATTAAACAAACCCAACACTGCTTTTGAAGAAGTTGCATAAGCGGGGAAAAAACTTGCACTTAGTGTTCAGAATTCTAAAAGTATTTCATGCAACCCGAGTGGTGTTCAGTGAAAAAGCAACTCTGTATCAAAATTAGCATAACCAATGTAACTCATATCAGCACACTGACTGATGAATCTTATAAAGCAAGCTTAAATATGAAATTCTCTTACTCTGTTACATTATCAGCAGTAAAAAGGCCTAAAAAATAAAATAATTCATGAATTAGATAACTTTAGGACAAGTAGGCCACTGAGGTTTTGACAGTGAGGACAATTAGCCAACAAGTTACTAAGATCCTGAGCAGATTCTCTATCACTAATAGCCTCTAAGGCTCAGAGAGAACTTCTGTCTGTAACATGGAAATATTTGTAGAGTGCTGTGGCCCTTTGGTAGAGAAGGGGTCAGATTATAATTGTCCTTATTGGCCTCAAAAAAAAATCTGCAAATTAAAGCACACCTGTTAAATTTGATCTTACTTGTAACCTGGAAGGCGGTTTAAGCAAAGATCTCAGTTTGTGAGTACATTAGGGCACTGAACTCTCCCAGATTTCTGCATCCTATAAAACGTAATTGAGTGGTTGGGAGCTTCTCATGAAAATGTGTAAGGTCTTAGGGACAGACCTACATTATGGTAGTAATGAAACCAGCTCGACCCTTTCCGAAAAGAGGATTTTCTACACGACCTAACTGCCCAAAGTCAAGAAGGTCTAGCAGTGAAACACACTCCTCCAGGAAATAACCCCATTCCTCTCTTTGCAGTCACCCTCTATGACAGCCCCCTTCTTCAGAGCCTTCCGCACTTAGGCATCTGAGGCAGGCATCATGAATACCTTCCTTAGAGCAGTCTACACATTAATGAGAAACTACACATAGCTTTACTTTTGTTTATTAAAAATGGCTCACAAATTTTAAGTGAGATATGCTCTGGGAAGATATCATGTGTGGCATTCATAGGCTAAATTGCAAAGAATTTGCTGGTATATCTCATATAACGTGCAAGATGGACGAATTTCTACAAGAAGCATTTCAGCTGGAAAATGGTAGTCTGATTGGAAACAACTGATATTATGTCTGATGTCTAATAAGTTATATTTACATTTTTAAATGGCATTTATAAATATCAAGATTACATAACCTATCATAAATGAACTAGTTTTCCACAACTGTGGATATTAAAATCATTGCCATAAGGACTATTCAGTATCACTTCAAAGATGCGGTTGAATGTAACTGCACATAGAGACTGCAGTTTAGCTAATGTCTAGACTGCTGCATCTCCTCAGTTCACTGCTCTTAGACCACACGAGAACACAGCACATCAGCCTGCTGATCCCCTACTTGCCCATGTTATAAGCTCTGAGAGCTCTTTGGTAGCTAATGATATCATTGGGTCCCTATGGGATAACACATTTCCCAGTAGTGTATCAAGTGTAAAACACTTCAGAAGAATGCATTTAAGGTGGTCTTAAGAGGGTCTACTCTAAGAAATGACAATCTTTCTATCCACCATCCACATTTCCATTCCCTTGCTTCAGTCTCCAGATAAACCACTCACTCAGATCTCTTCAGCTACAGTATTACAACATCAAACTAACTTCTTCAATTCTTACTTGGTTTTCTTCTCTTCAGCTACAGTATTACAACATCATTCTCAAACTAACTTCTTCAATTCTTATTTGGTTTTCCTCTAACTGGAGCATTACTGCCATGAGTTCTTCCTGTAATTCATACTTAACTATAAAAGCACATAACCTTAAGGCTTTCGGATTTAGGACAGAAAAGAGTTCCGAGTATGTCAGGACAAATCCACCCTGACTTTTAACAGAAAAGAACAATGATTGACTATAGGAGTACAAGGAATAGCCTTCAAATGAAGCAGTTTCATGAGTGGATTCTCCAAAAGATACAAGGTCACTCTTCTGTCCTTCCCTCAGTTAAAATCAATCTCATAGCACCAGAGATTGCATCAATTGCTCTATGTGCACAACGCTACAGTGCGGGACATGCCAGTCTTTATATGCCAAGTGGAATTTCAAAGTATCATAAAGCAAAAATGCATAGGTTGACTTGGCTTGCTTACGTTCAGCATTCCAGGTCACTTGCACAGTAGCTTCGACACATTCCTTGTCAGAAATGCTATATACATAAGAGCCACCTTGCCCTTGGGTATCTGAAAACAAACATTTCAAAAAAAAAAGAAGTTAAAAAAAAAAAAAAACACTCCAGAAAGTAAGAGGCTGGTAAATAAGACAGCATTGGTAAGGACACTTCTACAGTCTGTCTTCCCTAACTCACCAGCTGTTTGGATGACATGGAAACATACAGATATGCGACCAGTATCTCCTTGTCAAACCTACCTGAGATTGGCCATGAAGGTCAAAGAGGTAAGAGGTGCACATAAAGTGTGGGTCATCACGTAAGTCTAGTTTCCATGGGAAGCCAGAGAAAGAAAGAAAAAAAAAAGGGGGGGGGGGAAGGGGGCAAAAAAAGCACAGAAAACCCCCTCACAATCTCCAAATTCTTTAAGAAAGGATGTTATGTTACACCTCCTTTCTGCTCACACTCACCAAAAAGCCTTTGTTCAAGGTTACAAAAGAGACTGATGGTAAAGCAAAAGCAAAATCTGCTTATTCCCACCATGCAATCCAGCCTCATCTCTCTTATTTGCTCTGACAGAAATGAATTTTCTTCACTTTACTCCAGCTGCTCCCAGACTTCTATTTTCTATCCCCCTACTCCTTTTCCTTTAGCAGTGTGCCCATCAGAACACCACCTGTGTTTCTTTAGCTGCCTTTCTATCAAAAACAGCTGATTCTAATAAAGAAACAACTCCATGTCACAGAATCATTGAAAGCATATGGACACTTAAAGTAGTTACTTTCTAGTTTTCTCCTATGTTTTCTTGCTGACCAGATAATCAGGAAAAAGATACAAAATAAGAAAACAGCACCTAATTGTATCCATAAACCATCCTCCTCAGGCAAA